ACCTCGTGATCTTAATAGGTTCCGCCCCCTAAATATTCTAATTGAAAACCAGCTTGGCCTAAAAGTGTATAGCATGAAAAATTATTTAGCAGATGCAATATGTAAGCAGTCAAATCTGTCAGCAACTAGATGTTACATGTTGTTAGGCATGCCTGCTATTCTTTAGAGATTTTTGGCGATCAAAATTAGCGATATCGATTTTCAGAATCACCCTGCTGGGCAACATTAACCAGATCAACGTTCTTGTATTAAGAAATAACTTAAAGCTTTTAGTCAGCCACTTCCCTTCTTGTCGTTTTTGCCTTACCCTGCAGGAAATGGGACTAGCTTGTAGCTAACTATGAACTAACTAGCAGTCGACTAGTGGTAACTATTAATTAACTATTTCCTTTGGCTGTAACTAACTACTTTTGAAGGGCGATGGCCGCAAAATATTGAGCACTGGTTTCCTCTGCATTAGATGTAAACTAATTTGTAGCTAACTACTTTTGGACATAAAGTATCAATAAAATAAGATTTTTTATAATTTTTTATTTTTTTATATTTTTTTACTTATTGTTTATTTAATACATATTTGCTTATTTGGTTACATGTTCTTTTTGAATTCCATCAGATGTAAAATCAAAACAAGTAGTTTTTAGCAAAAAAAATACCGGCTTCAACTCTCATATAAAAAAAAGATATATATATATATATCTCATGATCCACTGATCGGATCTTAACCAGACTTTTTTCCGATACCTACTCAGTACTCGGTTCAAAAGTATCGAGTACAAAATTACTTGGTATCGGACGAATAGTATCTTGTATTTACTAGTATCGTTTCATCCCTATTTCCGACTCGTTTCGGTGAACAATTTGTCCGCCAGTGACGGTCGCAAACGACTCGCCGTCGTATTAAAAGCACAGTTCGCCGGCGGGCCGCAAAAACGACTCGTTGGCGAGTCGCAAAAACGACTTACCGGCGGGTCGCAAAAACGACTCCCCTGCAGCCCAAAAACGATATACCAGCAAACTGCAAAACGATGCTCAAAATTTATACCAAATTTGAAGTCAAAGTACAGTTTTATAACAAATTTAAAAAAAACCTCATACCCAAAAATTTTACTTTTTATTAAAAAGTCCAACAGAGTGAACTGAACCTTTATAAAAAAAATAAATAAAAAAATTTTATGTGAAGAATATTATGAATACTGAAAAAAGATGTAGGCGGCTTAAATTTCTGAGTACAAATGTACATTGTGAATTCCAAATTCTGTCATAATAAAAAATTGTCATAAGTACTATCCAAATGAACGACTTTTATTTATATATAGATATATAATAATGTGGGCGTGGAACTTGTCCAACCCAGACCGAAGGTTCCTCAAAAAACTTTTGGGTTCGAAGAAACTTCGCCAGAGCGACGTCGTAACGACGTCGTCTTCGCCCTGTGGCAAATTGGGCAAATATCGAAAAAAAGTAATAATTTGATTTCGTTTGATACACTTAGCGGGAAACCATTTCGTGCCTTATGTTGTTTGTGGTCACTTGAAGAGGGTGCCACAAATGTAAGGTACCCAGGTGTACAAGAGTTCTCCCTTCGCTACTGTCGTACGTCACAAGTGTGCGTTTTTTTCGATTTTTTTTTTTCTCGTGTGTTTTATAAGAAAAGCGACAAGAAAACGGAGTCACTGTCACACGTGCATATGACACAAATACAAAAACGCATACAAAAATTCGTACATCCCATTATATTTCAAGGCAAGCAAGAGAAGAGCAACCACTCTTGCAGTAGCCAATGGTATATGGCGGCTCTTGTGTGATTGAATGGCAGTTTTCGTTAGGGTCAAAGGGTACTACATAGCTTCCACTCGATCTTCCGGTTGACTTTTATAGCGTACCTTCAGCTCCGATTCTGTCACAGTGCAGTCGTTTTAGGCTCATTCTACATACATACATACATATGTACATACAAATATCTGATACTATAATTTCTCGCGCGCAGCTGGTGGCTCAAATAGTCGCAGAAGAATAGAGCGCGTTCTTTCAGCCGAGTTTTGTAGACGCTTAAAGACTATCAATGTGATGGCATGTCATTAAAAGCGACGAGTTTCTGATACTAAGTAAGACCACATGAGGAGCACATACAAATTTAAATACTTGTATAGGAATGTATGTATGAATGTATGTGCCTAATTCTTTACTTTTTTCGTTTATTATATGTAATTTCTTACAGCTCGCGCGCGCGCACTTAATTTTCCTCCGCCGCTAGACGACACCTTAAGGTGCACATATGCGGTTTCCGAGCGCTACAGGCGCGCAATTTTCGGCTTGGTGATGCCCACATGCTCTCTTACCCGTTTATTGTCAATGCTAATGGTTGAACGCATGCGCAATAACAATTTCATATGTAACGTATTTTCAACACGTGAAAAATAAAACGGGAAGATACACTCAAGAAAAACAGCAACTACATATCGCATTTTAAGGAAGTCACCAGATAATTGTGGAAGTACAAAAGTAGAGAAATGCAAAAAAAAAACAACAGAAAATGCCGTTAAGCATCGGTGAACATTTTGATTACGATTGTTAAGTTGGAAAAATTAGGAAGAACCATAAAGTTCGAGAAGTGGCGGCTAAAAAGGTGTGCACATACATATTTATGGTAATACATGCGCACACATACGTACAATGTAAATTTGTATGTACCTAAAGATATACATATATACAAGATAACGTCTAGTCGAGTTTTTGCACAGGCATCCATGGCATACCTATATGTACCAGCGCCCAACATTAAAGGGTAAAGCATTGTTTTCATTATCAGTCGTTGGTTAAGTTTCGTAAAGCTTGGGAAAATCTTTTTTGTGTCATGCGGGTGGAGCTACGCTGCGCTAATCGAGCCAAAACCTTTTAGCCGTGGGAAGTTGCAGACGAAGTCAGGCGTCGAATAGCGCTGGCTTACACTAAAGAGATTACTGCATACACACATATATGAACATATAAATAATGCATATCTATGTATTATGGAAATTTTGCGTACCTTAAATCAAACTTATTAATTGAAGAGGTATGCACCGCGACCTAGTGGGTCTATTGTGCTATCCTCTCATCAAAACACATCTTTTATTCATAAATCCCAGGAGAGCCTGTGGAAGTAGAGACATTGGGTCTTTGCTGTTCATTAGTCGCCTCGGTATGGCATTAAATTCAAGGAGAAGGTGCAATGGTGTCTCCAGAGTTGAATTGCAGAAACGACAGAGATCGTTCGCCCAGCTTATGCAGGTATCATCTTAATACAGTGCCTAATGCAGTATTTTCGTAGCAGAAACTGTCGTTGGACCCAGGGAAACCGGGTGGTTAACTTCCTCGAAAACTGGACACTCTGGACTTCAGGAGGGCTCTAATTTCATCTCTGATCAGACAGATTACTGCGCCGCAGAAATGGCTCCCATAGCTCCTTCACTGCCTACATTCCCTCAAGGAATCCCCCTCAGTCCGGGTGTGGTGGGGTGACTGGAGGAAGGGAGCAGTAAACTTCTTGAAGGATGGATCAAAATATGGAGACGGGTTTGGTGCAGCTGTCTTTTGCCGGGAGGTCTCCATCAAAATTATGTTTAGGCGTCTCGCCAGTGTCTTTCAGGCGGAAAAAGCTGCCATCAATTAAGCGGTATCACCTCGCCATCAACGTTAACATCAGGTGGAATTATTTAAATTTTTACAACCCTGGAAAAGCTCTCTGTCATTGAAATTAGCCGCATTCGTAATTTCTTAATTGGGTCGCGGCTCGCCGACTGAATAACTGGTCTCCGTTCAGCTTCAGGCCTCCCAGTCATTGACGGTGGCAACGATGGCCAAAGGTAGGAGGGCTTAGTCAAGACTTGCGCTGTCCAAATAGTCTTGAAGTAGTTAGGAAGCAGGCCAAAGCTCTTAGTGAAGCTTGGATTTAACTATATACACGTCAATTCCTGTCACTCCATCTATTTTTCACAACGAAGTCCATAACATTGGGGATTACAAATACCTCACCTTGGAATACCGAAGTATATTCCCACCGAATACCGAAATATATCAGGGAACTCAACATTTTAGTATCTCGTCAGGCAAAGCAATGGTGGCGAATCATTATGTGGCTATTAAATAGCAACAACTTCTAGATCTCTGCCTCCAACAGTTTCCTTTTCAGCCTAGAAGTAGCCTTAAGAGCCTGCTGCGGATAAAAGCTGCCCACGTATTGTAGGAAAAGCTGCCTTTCAGAATTCCGCTATCATTTTTTGTTTGTTTAATTTTCCACGATATCCAATGAGAATCTGCTCTATCAAACTGCAGATGCATAGCTGACCATAAAACTGGAAGTAAATTCAGAGGAATCCTATAGGTGACTGAACCGCCTTCTGCTTAACTCCTAAAGACCGCCACTGCAAGCATTGAATGAATCCAATTTAGCGGCGCAACTCTCCATGACTTAAGAGCCGAGTTAGTGCAGAAGCTATTAGACAAGAAAAGTTCGACATAGCCATATTTCAAGCGTCTATGGCACAAAACTTTATATTGCTATTGTTCGATGTTCTTCCCTTTCCTCTTCAAGTGCCGATATTGATCTCACATATCTCGCATTGTACTGTTTCCTAATTCGATGGCTTAAAGCTCGACGAGTAAATGTGCCTCAGCTTGATCGTGCTGATCACTTTATTGCCTTTGAAGCTAATTTTATTTCCGAAAAGTAAGCTGTTCTTGGTTTAGTATAGTCCCAGTATTCACACAGCCTTTCACCATTTACTTTAAGGTTAAGATGTGTGTGAAACTTCTTTCTAGCTTCGGGTACTTAATAAAATGTATCTGACAGCGATATACTCGTATAGATAACGAATTCGTGTATAAATAGAATTAGGTGAATAGCTCCCAACCTCATAACCCTTTTCCCAGGAAAAAATAAGTCCAGTTCTCAAGCAAATTTATATTTGTTTTATAAATAAATAAATTATTAATAATAAATAATTAAATAAATAAGTAATAAATATAAATTAATTATAGCGATGAAATTTAAATACTGCAAACATCAAAACTTAAGCTGGTATACTAAAGTTAATGCGCTTCCTCCTGCCATAGGGGCTTTCCTTTGGGGCTTCTTCTTCACCGTCGGCACTTCGCCCGAGCAGACCCCAGAATGGTCGCGGCGTAGTTTTTTGGTGTATGATGATGCAATTGACATCTCTGTCATCGTTAGGTGTGCCTGTACGGGTATAGGTTTCGGTTTCTTCAAAACTATTTGTTCCTTTGTCAACATTATGTAAGTTATCCATCTGATTTTCTTTTATATCGCGATTCTTTAGATTTTGCTTCCGGCGACGAAGAGAAGTATTTTGACTTGAAGGTCGAAGAGGTCTCTGGTTGGGACGTTGTTGAGAAGGCCTTTGAGATGGTCTTTTCGATGGCTGTTTTGAAGGTCTTTTCGATGGTCTCTTCGATGGCCTTTTTGAAGGTCTTTTCGATGGTCTCTTCGACGGCCTTTTTGAAGGTCTTTTCGATGGTCTCTTCGAAGGCCTTTTTGAAGGTCTTTTCGATGGTCTCTTAGAAGGCTTAGGTTTTGGTTTTGCCGCAGCTTCAGCACCTGATTCAGGTTCCGGCTCAGGTTCTGGTGCAGGTTCAGGAGCAGGTTCGGGTGCAGGTGCGGGCTCAGCTTCCGTCTCAGGCTGCTCTTGGGGCTCAGGTGCAGATTCCTCACCATCACCTTCCACCTCACCCTCGTCAAAAGCGTCTGGGTAGTTAATATCACCACCGCTATAAGGTAGCGCATTATCATCTCCAGTTGACCAAATGCCTGTGGTGCTTATTGGACTAACTTCTTCCTCATAAAGTAGCTCATCATAGTCATCGTCTGCGTCGTCGGTAAGTTCTCCACCATCGATGTAATCATTCTCAACGGGCCTCAATTCAAACACCGCATGTGTCTGGGGATTAACCTTAGGCGGAGTGTTCGCATGTACAATGAGGATACCATTGTCACCAGTAGAAGCGGCGCCCACTGCTGATTGAGCGCCATTTGCGTGTGTAAATTGTGCTACAACAGGCAAACTGAGCACGGCTTCTTCTTCGCTTTCCTCATCTTCAGTCGGAATGACATTCTGTACGGGCTTCGTCTGTTGTCTAGTATTTTTGTCATTACCAATGGGTACTCCAACAACAGCAATGGGTTCGTCAGGCTTGATATCGTTATCTTCATCAATGGAGACAGCGGTGTCTATTCCCGATGGCAAGGTGTAGGAAGCTGTCTCAATGCCATCGTTTTCTTCTGTTTGGCCATAGTTGAAAGAGCGTTTGCGTCGACGTCGCTCCACGCATTGCCGACGACCACCGTTTAATTGACGTCCCTCTATGTAGAAGCGCTTAACTTCGATTTCATTACCATCGGCATCAATCTCAGAGAATGTTTCAGCTGAAAGTGGAAATGTGGAAAAGGACACATTAATTAAAATGTTTTAGGATAAATTTAATATTTTTATTTTTGGGAAATAAGAAGGGATTTCGAAAAAGTGTAAAATTACAGGAACGTTTCAGGTATCAAAAAGGAATAGGACCGTCCAATATAATTTCAGAGCCATCCCGTTGCGATTTCGCCTCAGAAATCATCTAAGGAGATTAGAATGATCATGAAATAAAAGTTTTAATATTTTTTTTTCGTTCTTGAACCATAAACAGCAGCGCTTTACCCAACTTCCAGTGAGTTCCTTTAAGCAGGCTATTTCTGCAATGCTTTATGCTGTATATTTCAATCCTTTCCACGGTACTTCTACCGACATATCAAGCAATACGCCCACAGTGGAAGAAATCACGAAAAATAGTATATATAGTAAAAGTTACCCAGGGGCATCAAATTTGGAACGCAAGATTCTTTAGTGAATATTAGTATAATTTGTTAATATAAACAAAATCCGCCCGCAAATGCTCTTTTTTTTTTGAAAAACTCAAACTGTTATATTTGGGAAGCTCCAGCAAAGAAACAAAAGGTGACCTTCCGCTTGGGCTTAAATTTAAGGCAGAGCTCTTGACTACTGCCCCTGAAAATACCCTCCCTGCATTTTAACACAATTTGTGTTTCAATATTTTTTTAATGTTCAAAATATGTTAAAGCTGTTTTTGATAGCCAGCTGAACTGACATACTATTTATGCACTGAAAATGCTAATGCTGCTACGAAGTCATAACAAAAAATTACAATAAAACTAATAACAGTAAAGATACATAGCTTTTATTTAGAAAAAATCAAAGCAAAATGTGTAAGTACAAAGTTTTTTTGTGATCAAAATTAAAACAAGTAAAATGCAGAGGCATTTGGTCTTGTTTTATTTTTTTTAATACTTTATCGCATTTTTTCTAACTTTTTTGGGTTTTGAGTAGTACTCTTACCGCCGTCGGGAGGTCCATGATTCTGGTTCCTGCAACATCAAAATTTTTTCAAATAGCAGTGGCCTCTCGGCAGACATGGCAAACCTCCGAGTGTACTTCTGCTATAAAAAAAGCTTCTTCGGTGGTGGAAAAAATTTCAAACCTTTATGGAGACGTCAAGATCTTTATGTTGTTTGTTCAATAAAAAAAACAAAAAACTGGTTTATTCGATATTCAAAAAATCAAAGATTTCAATAAATCCGCCTATAGATATCCAAAAAACCGTTGGAAACCAGTTTGAAAAAACTGGGCGGTGATGGGCGGAAAAAGAGCATGTTTCTCCCTTAATACCCTCCTCCCCCCATAGCTAGAGAGTCACCATACCTTTCATTAGGTTCTGCCGCAAGTGCAAGAGCTTGAGCTCGAAGCAGAATGCTGCCTAAATGAATCCAGAGCTTTATTAGGTGTCTGAAATTTGTTGGTAGTTGTGGGAAGTATCGAGTACTTTTGAGGATCGTGTTCTTTGGTATCGATACTTTCAAACTTTTTTAGAGAACTGAGTACTTTATTTAAATATACACACTTTGGTCACATTTCAAGTGCTTAGTGTAAAAATATCACATGCTGGCAGCTATTTATTGAAATTTATATATTAATCCCAAATTACGTCAAATGAATGGCTATGTCTACTGGGTACAAGTATTGTACTTGAAAATTATTGAAAGTTGAAATTGTGTACAATCACGGGTAAATGTAAATAGAACTTAGTACTTGAATGCTGAGTACTTTTAAACGATCCTGATTACATGTGTCAAAGTGATGATTGTAACGGAGGATTTTGGAGTACTGACTACTTTCGAGTGCTTTTATGAGTATGAGTACTGAGTACTTTGGAGTACTAAGTATTGATACTTTTAAAAATCGGTCACTTCCGATCCTTTTGAGAATTGAGTTCTGAGTACTTTTGATGTCGATATGCCCAACACTATTTGTTGGTACGGGATGGTTGCCTGTATAAAATAAGAAATTAACAATGAAGGAGTCAGTCAAAGCATAGACTTCTCGCGTGCATCTTAAAATGCACCACTATCAAGATCAGACTATTGAGAATCGCAGACATGTACCCAAGAAAGGGCATCAATGGTCCCACAAAGGCGAATACCCAAATGTTCTCTCCGTAGAAGTTGTAGGGATGAGAAGAAAGAGGAATCGATTCTCACTTCCCTGTGGCAGGAGGCAAAACTATCGTACCGTCACAATTTCATCTGGGACAGTAAATGGTTTAAAAGGCAGTTTGGGATAACTTCGTTCCTTCTGGAACTCCTGAAAGGCACTCATAAAAGGACTCACTTCCATCGGAATGGAAGTATGATAGCTTCATAAACGCCTTCCTATACTAACCTAACCCTACCTCTTTGTGATATGCTGGTAAACAGATCAGCAGCAAATGAGCTCAGCGATCGCTCATAAAGTTCCATGGTTCTTCTGGATATACATATCGCTAGCTTAGAGTGAAAAGTTGCTAAGTCCCAATTTACAAATTGTACGGAGAGGAAAAAAACTTCTTATAGCCATTACTTTGAATACAACATTTTGCATGTGTAAAGCAAAGCGAAGGGATTCGATCTTTATTAAAAGATTTTGTACTATTTTGGCCTTATCGAAATTTAGGAGTTTTTTTGGACTTAGCAAATTTTACTTTCATTAAACATAAACGAGAAAACATAAAACAATGATCTTTGCCCTTTTCGAAACGATGCATTTTTAATTTCTCTAGCCTCCTATATCAAAATAGGAGCTTTCATAAAAAGTGGGCTTAGCAACTTTGCACTCTATGCTAGCAATAGCAACTCGCAAGAACCACTCTTATTTCTAACGCCTTTTGTCGTCATTAACTACACTCATTATGAGTATTTAGCTCTCTTTTAAGTATTTCATTCTTTTTTTTTATGTCATTTGGATAAAAATTAGGAAATATTTTTACCAGTTTTTCATACAAATTTATTAAAAAAGTTAAATCAACCAAGCCGGGTTTTCCGTTTGATATTTGTTTTTCTTTTTTTTATTTCCTATGGCGTTATCCTTATATTCGAAAGTCCTTGGAAAAACACAAAAGCTTAATTTATAAAATATTGTGGCAGTATGATTTAATGCACCTACATTTCACCAATACCGCGACTAGACTGATCACCAAAAATATAACATAGCACAAATTCAATTTCATGCTGCAGCTTTGTCCGCTTTACACACAGATCGAACTAAACACTAAAACTAAACCAAATATGCCAAAAGACCCTACTTAAATAAACTTGCATCAACTAATGAGAAGTTAAATAAAAAACAGTTAATTTTACTGCCATGCATGCATCCATATATATACATATGTATGTATGTATATGTACATACATACTACATATGATCCCCTTCTTTTCACTTGTCTCATCTTTTGTCAAACCGATTCGCCAATGTATTGATTTGTTGATAGATAAAGACGAGCTGCTTAAAAATCGCAACATTAAAAACTCATTTATTATTCATACATAGAATAATGTTGGAAAACGTGCGTATGAATGTATGTGCTTAGGTGTGCCTTTCTGACTAACTTTAAAATATCTTCGGCAAGCATCTTATTTAAGCTGAATTTCTCCCAAAGCCGGTGCGCGCGCGCAGCTTTCTTCAACTCGTCCAAACAACGGTCCACCAATAACCAGTTAAGAGTTTTTGGGGTCAATGAATTTGCGAATGATTAATAGTTAGGTTCTTAGTTAAGTGGAGCCAGCCACTACAAGTATTCGTTAAATCATTAACTATGAACTAAAAAGAATAATATAAATGAAGAGGAAAGCAAAATGCGACAAAACATTAAAAATAATTATAAAAAAAACTGTAATCCCACTTTTCACGATCGATCAAGCGAAATCTGCAATATTTAAAGATTTGCACACCGTGGCAAATGTCGAAACATCTAACTTTCGCTGATTTTTTTTTTTCTAAAAACTGCTTAAAATTTGCATAAATCGGAATTGTGGAATTTGCGGAATAGAAAGTAAATGTTGTTGAAATTATTCACAAATTTTTCGCAATTTGAAATAATATGTATTTACACTAGACGGAGATAACTTACATACTTACCGACTTATATTTCTACATACAGTGGTCGTCCAGTATAACGAATTCCTATAACGAACGCTCCAAATAACGAATGCCTTTTTTAAATGTATTAATTATTCTAAGTAACGAACGGTTGAAAACGGAGGAATTCTATATAACGAACGCTTGTTTATTTTGTGTGCTTGAATGACAAAAAGAATAACTTCTTACAAGTGGTCGCGTTTATGAACTGGAAAAATACCTCCGTCGCGTAAACGTTTGTTATTTATTAGTTGAAAAAATTAAAAAAAAACACATTAAAACACATTAAGGGAAATTGGAATTTGGGGTTCATATGTAATATATAGACTGATTTTATTGAATTCTCATAATAAAAGTTTAGTTCGATATAACGTACTTTTGGATATAGCGTATGAACCCAGACATTTTATCATTCGTTATACTGGACGACCACAGTATATCTTTTTCTTCTTCTTCTTTGGCGCTGTAACCGACTAAGCGATTTTGGCCGAATTCAACAAAACGCGCCAGTCATTTCTCTGCTGTGCCAACTGGCGCCAATTGCAAATGCCAAGTGAGGCCAAGTCCTTTTCCACCTGGCCTTTCCATCTCAGTGGGGACCTCCCTCTTCCTCTGCTATAACCAGCGTTTTCCGAGTTGAATACTTTCAGAGCTGGAGCGTCGGTGTCCATTCGAACGACATGGCCAAGCCAGCGGAGCCGCTGTAATTTAATTCGCTGCACTATGTGCATGTCGTTGTAAAGCTCATCGTTCTATCGTCTGCGGTACTAACGCCCCCCCCCCCCCCCCCGCATCTAAAACTTTCAGACTACCGTTAATTTCTTCATGATCAAATAATCGGATCTAAACCAAATTAGGATGGGACCACCTCAGAGGTACTGCATTTCCTTTAAATAAAGAATTATCGAAATCAGTTATG